ATAGATAGATAGATAGATAGATAGATAGATAGATAGATAGATAGATAACTTTCCACTGCTTCCTTTCTTGTCCTGGTACTTTGGTACTTACCGGAACATCTTTCTCTTGGGTAGCGTCACTCCAGGACCATCCAAGTGAATCCAGACATTTTGCAGTGTTTCTTTTAAAGGATTAGTGAACTCAACAGTCACAACCATATCAGAGCCAACCATAGCTGTGCCTCGGACCTGTGAAACAAATTAGAGGACAATACAGCTTGTCAGCAGCAGTACAGCATTTCTGTCGTCTCCTTAGGCATCTTTCTTCTCTCTCTCTCTCTCTCTCTCTCTCTCTCTCTCTCTCTCTTTCCTGAAGTTTTGCAGTGTGTTTACTCCTTGGCAATTCACCAGAGAGAGGAGGAGAGACTATTGCTTTGACTGGGAAATACCTATTGAGGAAAAGATGGAAGCTTACTAATTACAATCACACTCCTTCCTCATTATAAACCTCCCCCTAATTAAAGCTGAGGTTAATAGCTGGGGCCTTTGGCGGCTCTCTGTCAGCAGGAGGCAGGAACAACCGATTTCCAAAGTGAGGGCAGTTCCAAGTGAACCCTGCTACTGGAAAGAACTCAAATTTTCTGGGCAGGTCATTAGGGATTCTTGAGGTCAAGAGACAGGAAACACTGCAAAGACTTATGCTTTCTTGTAGATGTGTTAGAAAGACCCCTCAAGAGAGTCCTTGTCAGGCTTGAAGGAGAGAAACATCTGGGCTAAAATAGGCACAGGGGGCTTCATCTGCACCCACATCTGAGTCCAGGAGGGGGGAAATCCAGAGACTGTGAGGCTATTTGTGGAAAGTTTACCCAGAACAATCCTCCAAACTATGAGAATTTGGTAGAACATCTGTGACAACCAGGGCTTGATGTTAGTGGTGACATTTACTCAGGTTGTGGTCTTGGATGAGTCACTCAAACATTCAAATTTATTTATTTTTCTGCATTTTACAAGCTTATTAATTATTTAAAATACCAGGTTTTGCCATATTTGTATGTAGATATAATGTCCTTTGTTCACACCCTCCATTACCTCTCTTGCCTCCTCTCCCCTTGCCTGCTGGTCATCTTCTTCCTCCCAAATAGTCTTCTTTCAATTTAATGCTTAAAAAGTCTAGATTCTTCATATGAATGAACATATGCAGGATTTGCCTTTCTGCGTCTGGACTAGCATATGGATTCCCATCTCCATCCATTTCCCCGCAAATGCCATCCTCTTTCTGATAGAACAGAACTGTCTGGATGTGTATATACACCTTATCTTCTTTATCTGCTCATCTGTAGACGGGTATCTCAACTGCTGATTTCATAACTTTCCTCTGGCTACGGCATCTCTTTAGCCTCCATATAGATTTTGGTAGTGGCTGCATCTGTTGATGGTGTATAAGGGTTCCTTCTCCTTTATATTCTCAACATTGTGGGTTTTTTTTGATGATAGCTACTCTAACTAGGATAATATGGAATCTTAATGTAGTTTAAAAATTAAAATGGTTATTGAGTTTGTTCCTTAACAGTTTTATACATATATAACATGTACTCTGTTTCCTGTAACTTCCCGTTTAATTTTCCTTTTGCTTTTACTATGAGTCCTCTTCCCTGTAAGTCCCCTTCCCACATTCATAACATTTTGCTGTGGTCTCTGTCTCTGTCTCTGTCTCTCTCAGATCTTCAGAGTTAAACAGCACACCTGGGTGACACAGATTTGAAACTAACCACTGGAGCCTGGTAATGACAATCACTTGGGTACACAACTGAAGATATTGGCATCCTCTCCCGGAGACTCCGCTGCCAATAGTTCAGAAGGAGTAGAATGCAGAGAGCACCTCTCTGACCCATGACTGATCATTGACAGCTCCACGAATGCTCTGAAATCGAGACTGTATTGGCTAAGCCATGTATGCCAAGAGGTCAGGATTTCATAGCCCTTCTTCATCCAGCTCTTAGATTTTTTCCTCCCCCTCTTTATTCATACCTGAGCTTTGTAAGATTGATATATTTACAACATATATTTGCAGATGAATACCTAACCGTAACTTATTCTCGGCACTGTGAACACCCCTGCATCTTTGTGATCACTACTGTTCACCAAAAAAAAAAAAAAAAAAAAAAAAGGATTCTCTGATTAAAGCTGGGATAGAATTTCTGCTGTATGGGGAACTGGGAGTAGAAAAGGCATCAAGGTCTTACTTACAGGCGAGCCCTGTGACCTACAGTTGGTGGTACAATGGTGGTGCCCAGCTGTTGTGTAATCAACTACCCTCTGCTTGGATCCCACAGAGGGGACTCATAGATGGTTCTATAAAGCCAATCAAAACACACATGGCTGACAAGGTATGTTAGGCCCCTGTGAGTGGCGTTAATGCTGCTGTTATGCTCAAGTGGAATGGTACTAAACTGTCTTCTAAATACTTATAATCAATATAGTTTTGATTTTCATTTCCTTGATTGTTAAATCTATTAATTTTTTTATGTGGCTATTGGACATTTGTTCTTTTTTTTGAAAAATGTGAGTAGATTCAGTTTTTTTGTCTCTAAAAGAAGACTTATATTTGAATACAAATATGTCTCTTATATAAAGTCATTATATAATATTCTTTATATATAAGTATAAAATAGACTTCTTTATATTTATGATATATAATATAGTTCTTTATTTATATAAAGTCTAATATATATGTATATAATTGATATTATTATCCTTTCTGCTATATTCCGTAAGTGCCACATACTTAGAAGGTGTTCTCAATACAGAATCAATGTATTGGAAAATGAGCAAGCAGCAGTAGTATTTCATTGTCTGCATAGAAATTGGATTGCCACATAGATGGATCTGGATAAAATCAAAGTCACTCGAGAACAAAATAATTATGATAATTATGATGACGATGGTTTTTCCCTAGTAAGAAAGGGAGGGAAGAAGGTGATGCACCAAAAATCAGCTTTCAAGTTGCCCTGGGATTCTAGTCCGAGCTTCTTCAAACATCAGTGCTGCTTTTGACTCCAGTACCTATCCTGTGCCCTGCAAATATTTAGTACGAATTGTTTTAAAGTGGCACTTACTGGTTCATTGAGTTTTCTATGTATCAGCCTGACATTACTACATTTGTGTCTTTACCCAGCGCGTAATATATGAAGACACACACAGATATGAGACTTTCTTATGAATGGAGATTAAGAGGAAGAACATTGCCTGGAGAAGAGGACCCTTGCTTACTGACTTTATAGTGAAGAATAAAATCTTATGGTTTTGATTTTTTTGGTTTGTGACTAAATTTATGTTTATGGGATTTAAAAAATTCTATCAGAAAAAAAAACTTTCAACCAATTCATCATGTTCATTTCATGCCCCCACTTCCTAGGTGGAGAGATGGATTGAGGGGCGCTCTGCGTAGGGCAGGCTAATAACGAGGGAGACAGCAGCAGGCTTATCTAAAGATAAGGACTGTGTGCCGGAAATAGGTTGTTACTTTAAACAGTGGGAACTTGTAGCTACAGAAGTCTCAGCCCACTCCAGATCATGAAGCTAGAATCCCAAATGGTAGAGTAATTGGCTTATTTTGAACACTCTGGCACATTACTAAACTCCACTGAAAAGCATTGTTCATGAAAATTCTCACACAAGGGCTACATCACTTTTAGCTCCAAGGCACACAGGAACAAGATGTTCACATCATAGTCATCCCTTAAGGGGGACAAGATTTTCAGAGGCAGGGTCATTTGTGTTGGTGTTTTATTTTCTATGAAATAAGTTTACACAAAAATTTGAAGCTACTGACCAGGAAAGGATTCAAATTCAAGTCTTAATATGAGAAAGATTCAACTTAGAACTAAGGATGCAATGGCCAGAGATGCTGGAAGTACTGTAACTCAGTGGTAACCAAACAACAAAGCTAAGCTATTTTGCTCTCATGTTCATGGGTTCTCTAGGAGTAAGGGAACTTTTAAAAAGGGTGTAGAGTGAGTACATGTGATAATTGTCTTTCTGTCTCTGGGCTACCTAACTCAGAATAATGTTTTCTAGTTCCATCCATTTTCCTGAAAAATTCAAGATATGGGTGGTTTTTAAACATAAAGCAAAGAACACCAGTCTACAAACCACAATCCCAGAGAATTCAGACAACAATGAGAACACTAAGAGAGACTTACATAGATTTAATCTACATGGGAAGTAGAAAAAGACAAGATCTCCTGAGTAAATTGGGAGCATGGGGACCTTGGGGGAGGGTTGAAGGGGAAGGAAGAGGCAGGGAGAGGAGCAGAGAAAAATGTAGAGCTCAATAAAACAATAATAAAAAGTGGAATAAAAGAAGAGTGTAGAGAGAACTGAATTTGAAGTCAAACTGACAAAACTGAAAATCAATAAGGCTCAAAGAGAAGGAGATAGGCTAACTGATGAAAGAATGGGCCCATGAGCCAGAAGTTACTTTTGCAGCTGCTGGGGTGGTACAGTGTGAATGGATTAGCCTGGTCTGAAGGCTGTAGCAAAGTCAATAGCCAGCTCAAGACCAGGGCTTCCCAACCTCAGCACCAGTGAGATTTTGAACTAGATGCATCTCAGCTGTGGGGATGTGTCTTGCATCATGAAGGTATTTAATAGCATCTCTGGCTTCTGCCCACTAGACGTCAATAGCCAACAGCACCCCACAGATCATAACCACTACAGATATCTAGAAATTGCCAATTATCCCTTGGGAAGCAAAGTCCGTTCCCCCTCCTCCCTTGAAAGTCATTGCTGCTAAAATGATGAGAGGCGGAGCCTGTAACTTTCTTCCCAGGTATTTTGACGTGGTCCATTGGAGTGTCTCATATGGCATCCTCATCTAGTGTTTCTCATTAAAATAACTCAGAACACAGTGGAATTATAAAAGTAGAAGTTCTATCTAAATTACAGAAAGCTACATAGACACCTTCAGCAAGAATGTTTGCTGTGATGACTCAAATTCTTCCTGGGGGAAGTGCATTGGTACATCTGCCATGGTCATCACAAGGATGAGCAGAGGCCTCTTAAGGAATAAACCTAAATTTTGCCAGACTGATACCAATTGGGCCCATCAACAGTCAATCACAGAGAGCACTATTCATCCTTTCTAAACTATTGGCAACTGATGGGTTTGAGGGGAGCAGCAGCCATTGTCTACTAGGGTGTACCCAAAGGCGAGCCCAAAAGCCTCCAATACATAGTTCCAAATCCAT